GAGAGATTGGGTTGCTGCTGCTGCTGGAAGCACCGCCGATGCTGCCGCGGTTGCTGCGGCTGGAGAGATTGTGGTGGCTGCTGCTGCTGGAAGCACTGCTGCTGCTGCGGATGGAGAGAACTGTGGCTGGTGCTGCTGCGGCTGAAGAAACTGTGGCGGGTGAGGCTGGAGAGATTGCGGCTGCTGTTGGTGTTGGAAGAACTGCTGCTGCTGCGATTGCCGCGGCTGGAGGAGATGTGGGGGGTGCGGCTGGAGAAATTGTGGTTGCTGCCGCTGCTGGAAGTGCTGCTGCTGCTGATGCTGGAGCTGCTGGAAACGCCGCAGATGGGGAGGGGGGGAGGGGGTGAGCAGGCGGAGATAAGGGGGGGGGGAGGAGTGGAGGGTCGGAATGTTGAGAAGGGAGGGGCGAGGAGTAACACTGCTCCAGTGAGGAGGGGGGAGAGGGGCAGGGGGGGTAGCAGTCATGATGGGCGACGGCGGGTGGACCCGCGGCAGCCAAGGGTGAAGTTGCTGCTGCTGAGGCTGCTGCACTTCCCCTGCTGCCGCTGCTGCTGCCGCTGGCAGGAGGAGGGAGGGGGGGGGGGGGGGGGTAAAGGAGGGAGACAGCGGTGGAGGGCAGATGCGTTCAAGGTGCAGGGAGCGACGGTGACAAGGGCGCAGGCGGCTGTGCGAACGTGCGGCGGCGGGAAGGGGAGGCGGTGGCAAAGTCGGGGGCGGCGGCGGCGAGCAGGCCGCGACGACGAAGGGCGCAGGCGACGGCGGAAGGGCCGCGGCGGCGATTTTGAGAGCGGCGGCTGCAAGCAGGGTGCGGCGGCGGAAAGGTGAAGGCGGCGGGGAAATGGCTGCGGCGGCGAAACGAGGGACGGCGGCGGCAGGCAGGCCGCGGCAACGAGGGGCGCAGGGGGAGGGGGGAGGGGGGGGGAGAGGTGTAGGGAGAGGAGGAAGGGAGGGTGCAGTTGCGGCTGAATCTGCAGGCGGCGACGGGGCAGTCACGGCGGCAGGAAGTGTGGGCGGGGATGGCGCGGTCGCGGTGGAGGATGGGCAGGCGGCGCCGAAGCAGTCGCGGCGGCAGGGCGGCGGCGGCGCAGTGGCGTTAACGGGAACCGCGGGGCGACGATGTTGCAGTTGCGGCGGGGGAAATTGCGGGAGGGTGGCGATGCAGAAGGGGCAGCGAGATGCGTGGGTGGCGCGGAAGCAGGTGCGGCGGTGGGAGGGGAGGCGGCAATGCGAAATCGCGGCGGGGGGGGGGGGGGGGGGGGGGGGGGGGGGGGGGGGGGGGGGGGTGGGTGGGGGGCGGGGAGGTGAGGACGAGCAGTCGCGGCGGCGGAATGCGCAGGCGGCGATGTTAGGTCGCGGCGGCGGGATGGGCAGGGGGCAACGAGCTGTCGCGGCGGCGGGACGGGCAGACGGCGCCGAAGCAGGCGCGGCGACGTGACGTCGCGGCGGTGGGACGGGCAGGCGGCGACGAGGCGTCGCGGCGGCAGGATGCGCAGGCGGCGCCGAAGCAGGCGCGGCGGCGGGAACGCGGCGACGAGACGTCGCGGCGGAGAGACGGGCAGGCGGCGATGAGGCGTCGTGGCGGCAGGATGCGCAGGCGGCGCCGTAGCAGGCGCGGCGGCGGGAACGCGGCGACGTGACGTCGCGGCGGAGGGACGGGCAGCGGGCAGGCGGCGACGAGGCGTCGCGGCGGCAGGATGCGCAGGCGGCGCCGAAGCAGGCGCGGCGGCGGGAACGCGGCGACGTGACGTCGCGGCGGAGGGACGGGCAGGCGGCGACGAGGCGTCGCGGCGGCAGGATGCGCAGGCGGCGCCGAATCAGGCGCGGCGGCGGGAACGCGGCGACGTGACGTCGCGGCGGAGGGACGGGCAGGCGGCGACGAGGCGTCGCGGTGGCGGGATGCGCAGGCGGCGCCGAATCAGGCGCGGCGGCGAGAAGGGGAGGCGGCGACAGGGGGTCGCGGCGGGGGGGAGGAGGGGGTAGCGGCGTTGCGCTCGCGGCGGTGGAATCCGCAGGCGAGGAAGGCGTAATCGCGGCGGGAGGGGGGGGAACGGCGGCGACGGCGTAGGTCGCGGCGAGAGTATGCTAGTGATGGCTAGTTGAGCCACGCGTAGGAAAGGGTTTGTAGCTGTGGGGTGGGCCCATGGGAAAAAAAAAAAACTGAAGGGAGGGACAGGTAAGGCCTAGGAACAGGTAGCTCTATACCATGTGAAAGTAGCAAATTGAACAAGTAACTTCATTAGAGGAGAAAACCTAGCATACATAGTTAGAAGAGAGACTTGGAAGAGGAAGGTGAAGGTGACCATAGGTTGGGTTGACCTCACTTGGGGGAGTGAGGCAACCAAAGGTCAAGTGGGTTGGGTTGCCCACACTTTGTAGAAGTGAGGCAACCCTAGGCCCACTTGGCTTGAGATGACCTCACTTGTGGGAAGTGAGGCACCCATAAGCCAAGTGGGTTGCATTTGGGGGCTCCACCACAATTGGGTGGATTGGCACCCCAAAGTGGAAGACTACACCCAAAGTTGGGTGTAGTCCCAACCCAACTGTACACCACAATTGGTGTACAGTCACATGTGTTGGCATGCTACACAACATATATTTTAACACCTATGTTCGTGCCTATGCTCGTACCTATGCTCGTACCTATGCCCCTGCCTATGCTCGTACCTATGCTCCTTCCTCTGCTCGTACCTATGCTCGTGCCTATGCTCGTACCTATGTTCGTGCCTATGCTCGTACCTATGCTCGTACCTATGTTCGTGCCTATGCTCGTACCTATGCTTGTGCCTATGCTCGTACCTATGCTCGTGCCTGTGCTCGTCGTACCTATGCTCGTGCCTATGCTCGTACCTATGCTCGTACCTATGCTCGTGCCTGTGCTCGTATCTATGCTCCTGCCTATGCTCGCACCTATGCTCCTGCCTATGCTCGTACCTATGCTCCTGCCTATGCTCGTACCTATGCTCGTACCTATACTCCTGCCTATGCTCGTACCTATGCTCGTGCCTATGCTCGTACCTATGCTCGTACCTATGCTCGTACCTATGCTCGTACCTATGCTCGTACCTATGCTCGTACCTATGCTCGTACCTATGCTCGTACCTATGCTCGTACCTATGCTCGTACCTATGCTCGTGCCTGTGCTCGTCGTACCTATGCTCGTGCCTATGCTCGTACCTATGCTCGTACCTATGCTCGTACCTATGCTCGTGCTTGTGCTCGTACCTATGCTCGTGCCTGTGCTCGTACCTATGCTCCTGCCTATGCTCGTACCTATGCTCGTACCTATGCTCGTACCTATGCTCCTGCCTATGCTCGTACCTATGCTCGTACCTATGCTCGTACCTATGCTCGTACCTATGCTCGTACCTATGCTCGTGCCTGTGCTCGTCGTACCTATGCTCGTGCCTATGCTCGTACCTATGCTCGTACCTATGCTCGTACCTATGCTCGTACCTATGCTCGTACCTATGCTCCTGCCTATGCTCGTACCTATGCTCGTACCTATGCGCGTACCTATGCTCGTACCTATGCTCGTGCCTGTGCTCGTACCTATGCTCGTGCCTATGTTCGTACCTATGCTCGTGCCTATGCTCGTACCTATGCTCGTGCCTATGCTCGTACCTATACTCGTACCTATGCTCGTGCCTATGCTCGTACCTATGCTCGTACCTATGCTCGTACCTATGCTCGTACCTATGCTCGTACCTATGCTCGTACCTATGCTCGTACCTTTGCTCCTGCCTATGCTCGTACCTATGCTCCTTCCTCTGCTCGTACCTATGCTCGTGCCTATGCTCGTACCTATGTTCGTGCCTATGCTCGTACCTATGCTCGTACCTATGTTCGTGCCTATGCTCGTACCTATGCTTGTGCCTATGCTCGTACCTATGCTCGTGCCTGTGCTCGTCGTACCTATGCTCGTGCCTATGCTCGTACCTATGCTCGTACCTATGCTCGTGCCTGTGCTCGTATCTATGCTCCTGCCTATGCTCGCACCTATGCTCCTGCCTATGCTCGTACCTATGCTCCTGCCTATGCTCGTACCTATGCTCGTACCTATACTCCTGCCTATGCTCGTACCTATGCTCGTGCCTATGCTCGTACCTATGCTCGTGCCTGTGCTCGTACCTATGCTCGTGCCTGTGCTCGTACCTATGCTCCTGCCTATGCTCGTACCTATGCTCGTACCTATGCTCGTACCTATGCTCCTGCCTATGCTCGTACCTATGCTCGTACCTATGCTCGTACCTATGCTCGTACCTATGCTCGTACCTATGCTCGTGCCCGTGCTCGTCGTACCTATGCTCGTGCCTATGCTCGTACCTATGCTCGTACCTATGCTCGTACCTATGCTCGTACCTATGCTCATACCTATGCTCCTGCCTATGCTCGTACCTATGCTCGTACCTATGCGCGTACCTATGCTCGTACCTATGCTCGTGCCTGTGCTCGTACCTATGCTCGTGCCTATGTTCGTACCTATGCTCGTGCCTATGCTCGTACCTATGCTCGTGCCTATGCTCGTACCTATGCTCGTACCTATGCTCGTGCCTATGCTCGTACCTATGCTCGTACCTATGCTCGTACCTATGCTCGTACCTATGCTCGTACCTATGCTCGTACCTATGCTCGTACCTATGCTCGTACCTATGCTTGTACCTATGCTCGTACCTATGCTCGTGCCTGTGCTCGTCGTACCTATGCTCGTGCCTATGCTCGTACCTATGCTCGTACCTATGCTCGTACCTATGCTCGTGCTTGTGCTCGTACCTATGCTCCTGCCTATGCTCGCACCTATGCTCCTGCCTATGCTCGTACCTATGCTCGTACCTATGCTCGTGCCTATGCTCGTACCTATGCTCGTGCCTATGCTCGTACCTATGCTCGTGCCTATGCTCGTGCCTATGCTCGTACCTATGCTCGTACCTATGCTCGTTCATATTCTCGTGCCTATGCTCGTACCTATGCTCGTACCTATGCTCGTACCTATGCTCGTACCTATGCTCGTACCTATGCTCGTACCTATGCTCGTGCCTGTGCTCTTACCTCTGCTCGTGCCTGTGCGCGTGCCTGTGCTCTTACCTCTGCTCGTGCCTGTGCGCGTGCCTGTGCTCGTACCTATGCTCGTGCCTGTGCAACAGGCCACTTTTCCAGGAAATCCTCGCCAAGACAGGTACTCTCATCTGCTCCTGTGCTTGCACCCTCCCGCCCTCCCTTACTTGCAGTGTATAAGTGGGCAGCACTGAGAGGCACTTGTTGAGGCAGTGCTACATGCAGTGTCCATACCTTCTGCTCTGTGTGCCCCCTGCCGCTCACCCCTTTGCCCCTTCAGTGTTCAAGTGGACAGCACAGAGAATTTTCGACACGCCAGTTGCCACAGGCAGGCACTATGACCCGTGCTCTCTGTGTGCTCCCCCACCCGCCCTCACTATGACTATGTTTGCCTTTCCTGCTCCCTCCCCCTCCCCCCTCCAGTCACTAAGTGAACGGCACAGAGAGTTCTCGCCATGGCAGCTGCGAGATCCAGCTAGCTTGACGTGTTCTCTCTGTGTGCCCCACCACCTGCCCCTTCCTCCTCTCCCCCCTCCAGCGGACAAGTGGACGGCACAGAGAGTTCTCGCCAAGGCAGTGCTGCAGGCAGCCTCTGAGACTTGTGTTCCGTTTGCCTTTCCTGGCCCCTCCCCCTCCACCCTTCAGTGGACAAGTGGACGGCGCAGAGAGTTCTCGCCAAGGCAGCTGCCACAGGAAGGCATCACGACTTGTGCTCTCTGTGTGCTCCCCCACCCTCCCTCCTCGCCACCCCTCCCCCTTCAGTGGACAAGTGGACGGCACAGAGAGTTCTCGCCAAGGCGGTGCTACAGGCGGGTGCACTCATTACGTGTGGGATCATACAAGTGTGCCTGCTGCAGCGGCTCTTTGAAAAGAGGCTCAAGATGAGCCGCGTGTAACCCAGTCCCCGGACTCGCTGGATGAGTGGAAAGGCATGAGGAGGATCGGGGGGAAGTGAATTTCAGTAACAACCTTAGCAGTGGTGCTGAGTGGAAAGGCACCAGGAGTATTAAGGGGAGGTGGGAGGGGGAGAAGTGGAAGGAAGGGGAGGAGGGGGCGTTAGGGGTATATTAAGGGCTGGAGATGCGGTGGTGATGACAAGAATGAGAGGAGCAAAGGACCAACCCGTTTGCTGCTGCGGTTGTGGGATTTTTGGAGCTACTGTAGTTGCTGTTAATGCTCCAGCATAGCAATGAGGCTGCAGGAGATTGAAGATGCGGCAGCGTGCTGTAATGAGCAGAATCACAAGTCTTCAAAATGCTAGCATCATGCTTCTTCAATGTGTAGGGATACGTTTATATTCTAATAAGGTCATACACTAGCTGATTGCTGTCAATCCAAGTCCAGTTTTCCATGTCAAGTAGGTTAGACCCATCAAAGGGTTGTTTGGGATGTGCTGAACTGAAAGAGTTCTCTTTCATATCAGCCACAAATACTGTAAGAAGTCTCAAGCACTATGGTGCCACAGCATTCGCTTTCAAGCACTATATTGAAGACATACATGAATAAGCCTACACAAGATGAGCAACTAGTGTCTACGAGCACCAGCCCAGAGCCATCCCTTGGGGAGCGCTCCAGGCCAGAGCCATCCCTTGGGGAGCGCTCCAGGCCAGAGCCATCCCTTGGGGAGCGCTCCAGGCCAGAGCCATCTCTTGGGGAGCGCTCCAGGCCAGAGCCATCCCTTGGGGAGCGCTCCAGGCCAGAGCCATCCCTTGGGGAGCGCTCCAGGCCAGAGCCATCCCTTGGGGAGCGCTCCAGGCCAGAGCCATCCCTTGGGGAGCGCTCCAGGCCAGAGCCATCCCTTGGGGAGCGCTCCAGGCCAGAGCCTTCCCTTGGGGAGCGCTCCAGGCCAGAGCCATCCCTTGGGGAGCGCTCCAGGCCAGAGCCATCCCTTGGGGAGCGCTCCAGGCCAGAGCCATCCCTTGGGGAGCGCTCCAGTCCAGTCCCCGCAAGAGTGCAAACCTTGGCTTGATGCCAACCTGGAGCTGAGGACTCAAAGCAGAGCCACACCTGAATGACAGCAGATTATCATCCTTCCAACCCCCACCAATTCCTAACCCACTCTCCCGAACACCCTGACAAGCAGGGTGCAAAAAAGAGACCCACCATCATCCCACTTCCCCACCTCCCAACCACCTTCCCACTGCTGCAATCTTCTCGAGGCTATGCTTTCGTGCTTTTCACCTTCATCCAGCTGGAGCGTGCATTTGCTGCTTCTCAGCCGACTTTTTTTTTTTTTTTTTTTTTAGCAGTTTTTTTTTTTTTTTGTCTTTTTTTTTTGTTATCCAGGAGGTAATCAGGTCCCCTTTCCCACGGGGATCCTCTGGGAGGTTCCCTTTCTCATGTGTGCAGTCACGTTGGAGGTCAAAATCAGGTCCCCTTTTCCACTGGGAGGTTCCCCAAGGGAGGTCCCCTTTCTCATGTGTCTCAGGTGCAGGTCTTGGTAGATCAGCAAGTTGGAGGGTGGAGCTTGCAACGAGTCACAGCGGTGCTTACGGCCGCCACGGACGCCGTGAGCTCGCAACCAGTGCCACCTTGGACGACGATACAGCACGAAGCTTCTTCACTGGAGCCGCGGGAATCGCATCACTCCTGCCTTCGAGCTGCTTCGCGCCATTGGAACTCCTTCTTCGCACCTGCCTCTCAGCTGCTGCGGCTCCTGCGGGCCGCGGAATCAACGTCGTCCCCTCCGCGCGGCTTTTCACGATCGTTCTTTGACCGCTTGGTTTGGGGATGCGAGACGGCAGCAGGAGTGACGCATGATGTACTGAACGAGTCGCAGCTGCCTTCGCCAAGCCAGCTGCTTTAGCCGTCGGAGAAACTTCAGCCGGCGGCGGCGTCACCGGTTCGGATGCCACTGGTTCGGACGTTACCGTTTCAGACGTTACTTGTTCCGCGGTGGTGGTTTCCGAGGTCACAGCCGGTACAGAGGCCACCAAATCTGTCGTTTCCCGATCTGGCATCGACGGATCAGAGGACGTCGGATCGGACGTCATCGGATCCAGCGACGTCGTCGAACCGTGCGATGCTGCAGCTTCGATAAGTGCTGGAGCTTCGACAAGACAGGCGTCGCTGCGGCTGGCGTCGTCGAAGGTCTCAGTGCTTGTGTCAGCGCAGGAGAGCACCGCGTCGCTGGCCTCCCTGCAGCAGGACGTCAGGCTGAGGCTGCTAACCTGGCGGAGTTTGCTCGCGTTGCTGGAGCTCCGAGGCTGCAGCAATGGCTGCGTCGGTTTGTTGCTATTGAGGCTCTTCCAGAAGCTAAAAGCGTTGTTGAAGTACGACGGGTAGTCTGAGGCCATGGTGCCGATATCTTCACGAGATAAGCAAACGTCAAGATAGTCTTTACACTAGAGCTGATAGTGTGAACAAGTCAGGAGGGTGATTTGAAAAGACGTCCAGGCTGCAAATTTGTAGGCACTGTCGAGTGGAAGAATGGAGGGGAGGGGAGGGGAGGGGAGGGAAGATTCTGGCTTGTCGGAGGTGAGGGCTGGTCAGGCTCGGGAGCGAGAATGGCGAAGGTGTTCCCAAGACCCTGACCTGCCCAAGTTTGTGCTCATTTGCCCACGCAAAGTTCCGTGTGGCTGCCGAGTTCGAATTTTTGGCCCGCGCTGCTCCACAGCAAGACTCCTTCCTGGGGATCAAGCCCACGAACATTTCGGATTACTGCCATGCCAACAGGCATTTCAAAGACTGCCCTGAACAATGCTTGAACGGACCCTGAAAAGTTTTTTGACCACGCTACGTACGGCGGGGTCGGCGAAATTTGAGCTCGCAAGGAGCGACAACCTCGGGGGAAGCCAGTCAACACCAGTGTTTGACTACGAATGCTGGTAAACCATACTCACAACCGTTATACATCTCAGTACCGTACTGAATTGTTTTAAATTGTGTTACCCCGAAAGCTTCGCATATGAAGCCTGGCCTGAACTTTGGTGCCGAACCTCCTCGCCTTACTATCCCGCGAAAGTCGAATTCGTGTTTAGAGGTTCTCGGTTAGTGCAGCTTCACTTTTCCAGTTATTTTAATTAGTGTCATCTCATCTCCCATAACAGATGCTAACTTGCAACCACTGTTGCATATTACTATGAATGAATTGAATTTAACTAGGATGGAAACACCTGCATACATGCCTACGTATATAAAAAAACCCAATCCTAATCCATATAGCATGCAGCAACCAGAGTTCTTTCTAACACCTCACCAGAGAGTAGCATGCAGTGACAAAACATGTTTGGTAAACCAGTTTTATAATTATTGGCAAGGCAGAGGTGCCTGAGTTGGTTTGCGAGCTGGAGCTGGGGCAGCCCTTTCTAGTCTTTTGAGTCGACTCAAATATTACCTCCCAGTGGTGTAGAGTATTATGCATCGGGGAAGAGGCGCCTGAGTTGGTCCACAGTGGTGCGGTGGTGGGTGATGGGGCAGCGACCAAACTGGAGAGCAACGATGCGAGGGTGTGGTGGAGAGGGGAGAGGAGAGGGAAGATGAGAGGGGAGATGAGAGGGGAGAGGATGGTGGAGGGGTAGCAGATGCAGGGGTAGCAGAAGATGAAGCCGGAGGTACAGCCTGGGTTACAGGGTTACCAACCTTATCCACGTAGGCGAAGATGCAGGGGTAGCAGAAGATGAAGCCGGAGGTGGCAGGGGCGGTGGGGTTGGTGCGACGGCACAGGCAGAGTGGACACAGGGAGCGATCAGAGGGCACTGGGATGCCTGCAGGGGCCACCTGGAGGGGTGACAGGAGGGAGTTAAACAGGAAAGGGTCGTACAGGAATGGGTTGTATGGGAGCGGCAACAAAGGCAGAGGGAGACACAAGGAGCGATCGGCAGGTACTGGGATGCCTGCAGGGGCCACAGGTAGGGATGAGGGCGGAAAGGGGAAAGGGGAAACAGTAAAAGGGTTGAACTGGAACAAGTTACAGACAAACGGGTTACAGGAGCATGGCTGAGCTTACTCTGTCGTAATATGTACACGCACCACATTCTTTGAAAAATGAACTTGCCTTGGGGGGTAGGGGGGGCGGTGGCGGAGGGTACACAGTTGGCGCACTGAGCTTCTGCTCGCCTGCCTGGTACCACCACTCGGCCATCTGATGGGATCATGAACGAATGGAGGAAAGCATGGATGACAGAGTGCCGTCAGCAGAAATACTGAAATTGGTACGGCAGCAAGACGCGCTAAAATTTTGCTCGGCATTTAGTGTGGACATGCCATGTGGTGGTATCCAAGCAAAGGCATGAGACACCTTGAACTTAATTAAAAGCCGCGTACCTTGAAGGCAAAGACAGCAGCAATAACGGACGTCTGCGCATAGTCCATTGTGAAATAGAGGGCCTTGAGTAGCGCTGCTTGCACGGTCTGCAAGGAGAGTAGCAGGGAGGGGAGATGCAGCAGTGAAAAGAAATGAGAGCAGTAGCAGCAGCAGCAGTGGTGATGAAGGCAATAACGGACGTCTGCGCATAGTCCATGGTGAAATAGAGGGCTTTAAGAAGCGCTGCTTGCACGGCCTGGTTTGGATGGGAGGGGGGGCGAGGGACGGGTGGGACGAAGCTTCGGCAGTGAGAGGAGAAACTCCGCTCACAACTGCTGCGGTTGGCTTCGTTGTCACTGCATCCCCTGCGTCCCTCCCTTCTGCTTGCTTGGTCTGGATGGGGAGAGGGGAAGACTGAGGCAAACGAGTGAGCGTCGAAGGGAGGAGCGAGGAGAAAAGCGGTGAAGGAGGCCTAATCAAGAAGCATAAATGGCCTATCAACCCTGTCCCCTCACTCCTGTTGCAGAAAAAAACCCAATACCACACCGATACAGCTACAGGACACAAAATTTAACATAACATGAGGCTGGTAACCACGAAATCTCACCCGTATAGCGCGTGGGCCTGGGAGGCGCTCAAACTCTCGCTGGCGGCGGGTGGAGATAGAGGACGAGGCCTCTGCCTGCACGGTCAAGTGGGGAGGATTGATCCATCTGAGCAGTTTTTGAGAATTCACATAAATCGCTCTCAGGAATCCACTTGCCTGGGACAGGCAGAGAAAGAAGCAGATTCCTTCGCCTGTACGGTAAAGAGAAGGAAAAGCTTTCTTTGAAGAGGCTCAACATCCTCTTGATGCCGACGGGTAGAGACAGAAGGAAGGAACGGCGGCGACACAAGGAGACACTTTTGAGTTAATAAAGACAGAGGACGCGCCCTCTGCCTGTGCGTAAGGAGGGAAAAAGCGTTGAGGTGTCTCAAACACGCTCTCGGTAACATGTGATGAGGTGATTTTGAGGCTGCTCACAAGTCATATGTGGATACGATACACCCACACAGCCTCACCAGCTCCTGTGGCGTGGCACGGCGCAGCGAGAGGGAGAGGAGATGCAGGATGGGCGAGTAGTGAGGTGTGGCGTCCATGACGTAGAGCAGCTGGTACAGCAGACACACGCCTGGTGGGTGGGGGGGAAGGGGTGGAGGGAGGGAGGGGAGGAGTAAGACACAAAGCTTGCATAAGTTGGTGGTGCGGCGCAGCGTCCATGACGTAGAGCAGCTGGTACAGCAGACACACGCCTGGTGGTGGGGGGGAAGGGGTGGGACGTGGGGGGAAAGGGAAGGAACAGGGCACAGATTACAACGGTGAGTAGTGAGGCATGGCATCCATCACGTAGAGCAGCTGGTGCAGCAGACACACGCCTGGTGGGTGAAGGAGGAGAGGTGGGGGGGAGAGTGAGGGGTAGCGTAAGGTTGGTGGTGAGGTGTGGTGTCCATGACGTAGAGCAGCTGGTACAGCAGACACACACCTGGTAGGGTTGAGGGGGGGAAAGGTTGAGAAAGAGGGGAGGGGGGAAAAGAAACGAAAATGCACAAACATTACAACGGTGAGTAGTGCGGCATGGCGTCCATGACGTAAAGCAGCTGGTACAGCAGACACACGCCTGGTGGGGGAGGGGACAGGGAGAGCGGGAGGGGAGGAAAAAGGCACAGAGGTTACAAAGGTTGGTGGTGATAGGCGGCGTGCATTATGCACAGCAGCAGGTAGAGCCGACACAGGCCTGGGGAAAGGGGGGGTGAGGGGAGACGGGGAGATCACACCAAAGACAGGGCGTGGCAGGACATGGCATGCGTGGCGTAGAGCAGACACAGGCCTGGTGAGGGGGGAAGAACAGAGAATGAGCATGCAGCGGATGAGGCAAGGGCAGCTAGTAGAGGAAGGAGGAGCGGGACAAAGAGGAATAATTAAAGTGAGTTGGCGTGGTTTGGAAGTGAGTTCTTATAAGTTGCCACCTGCAAATGAGGTGATTTTGTAGGGGCCTCATAAATCGCCCTTATAAGTTGCCACTTGCAAGTGAGGCATGGCGTGCAATTTGTAAAGCTCTAGCCTACTCCAACCGCACCCCCTCACCTTCATATGGCGCCTGCAGCCAGGGGTAAGCCGCAGCAGCCCCCCTCACCGCCCGTCGCTGCACCCACCGCAAGACTTGCACCACCTGCCGCCACCTCCTGCTGCCCCTTGCACTGCTCCTACTCCTGCTGATACTGCCCGCACCATTCCTCCTTGCAACGTTGCATCCCGTCACCATCTGCCCTCCCTGCCCGCCCGCTTGCTCCTCCCCTGCTCCCCCCTCCTGCTGCCCATCCCGCCCTGCACTCGCACGTGCTGCTGCTGCCACACCTTCTTCCGCTCCCCTTCCTCCCCCTGGCGTTTCGTCCCTCAATCCATCAGTCCCCAGCCCATCATCTGACTGTTCGTGCCCATGCAGGGAACCAACAGAGCCCATGCTCCCAGGGCTGCTGCCACTCTCACTGCGCTCTTCTCCTCCACTCGCCCCACCATACCCATCCCCTTGCCCATGCCCAAGACCCGAATCCCCCCCATCCCTCCCCGCACCCCACTCCCCCTCCTCCGCTCCCCCCCACCCCTCGTCCACCCCATCTCCCCCCACCCACAGTGCGCGGGCCTGCCTCTGTCTTTGGTGGGCTGCAAACAGAGAGTGCAGCTTGGTCCGCAGGTAGGGCAGCAGCACCTGGCATGTGGTAGAGGGTATGGGGTGTAGTTGAGTCGACTTAAAGAGCGGGCCTGCATCTGCCTTTGGCGGGCAGCAAACAGAGCATGCAGCTTGGCGCGCAGGTAGGGCAGCAGCACCTGGTATGTGGTAGAGGGTATGGGGTATATTAGTGGAGAGATGAAAGGGTCGTGGTTGCATTACAACTTATAGCAAACAGAGTGTGCAGCTTGGCGCGCGCAGGTAAGGTAGCAGCACCTGGTATGTGTTGGTTGGAGGGTATGGGGTGTAGTTGAGAGATGAACGGATAACAAGCATCACAGCTATATGGCACGCAAAGCATGCAGATTAGCGCGCAGGTAGGGCAGGAGAAACAGGAATATAATAAAGGGTACAGGGTGTAGTAGAGAGATGAATGGGTAAGGGTGGGTATTGGTGCAACATAAATCAACATGTAGAGCAACAGTAGAATATACCCTCCTCACCCTAACCAAACATACCCCCTGCATCCCCAACCGAAACCCCTTGACTCTGAATCCCAACCCTAAACGCCAACTTACCAGAAAGAGAAGAGAAAGCGCCCCCTGCTTGCGAGACATGCCATATGATGCTGACCCGCCCTCCTGTCCCCCTGCCGCCCTCTCTCCTCTGCCTGCCCCTTCCGCGCTTCCTGCTGCTGCCTCTGTCCGTAGAGCTGCTTGGCTGGGTGAAGGGCGGTGGGGAACGGTGGAGATGCGGCGAAGGCCATACATGGACTCACCGAATGAGGCGCCTGGGAAGAATAGCAGGGAGGTGACGATGGGGAAGCGGTGGGGAGAGGTGAGTGGGGAAGCGAACAATAGAGATCTGACAGTCATACGTACGGAGGGGGGAGGTAGAGAGGAAGAGTGGTATGGCGATGTGTGATACATGTGACACACTTGGTTTGGTTGGATGTGAAAGTAAGGTGTACATGTCACTACACTGTACTGTGCATATTGCGCGAGTGCCATTCGAGCAGCAGCAGCAGGTTAGAAGAAGACAACAAGAGCTCATAACGAGTACAGAGTGCAGTACCATGCGTGTTGAGAGAATGCCACTCGACCAGCAGCAGCGCGACAGCAGAGAGCTCATCGCTGTGGTCCAGCACACAAGAGCTAATAACGAGTACAGAGTGCAGTACCATGCGTTTTGAGCGAGTGCCACTCCAGCAGCAGCAGCGCAGCAGCAGAGAGCTCGTCGCTGTGGTCCAGCAGGCGGTGCAGCGACGGGCGGTGCTGTGCCAATACCTGCACGCAGAGAAGGGTTGGAAGAGGGCAAGGAAGGAGGAGATGAGTGGGCATTGATATGGCTCTTCATGCACTCGTAGCAGCAGCAGCGAGCTCGTCGCTGTGGTCCAGCAGGCGGTGCAGCGAGCGACGGTGCTGTGCCAATACCTGCCAGGCAAGGTAGGGGAGGAGAGGGGACGGGAAGAGGGCAATGAAGGCAGTGTGCATGCAGCGTACTGGGAGGAATGAGGAGGGGGAGATGACGGGGTCGAGGGAATCTTCATGAGGTTTACAGGGCACGTGGAGAGATCTCATACGTCCCCCTACTCGCCCATGCTCACACAATACGACACATTCAGAAGAGAATCAGAAAATGTTATTTCTACAATTCGGATGCACGCCTGCTCCACCCGCTGGTGACGAGCCATGACCACCCGCCTCGTTCTATGCTGCTCACAACCCTCCCCTTCCCATCCCCGCCGCCTTACTTTCGTCCCCGCTTTCCCTCTTCCCCTCCCCTCCCCCTTCCCGCCTCCCCAAGTGGAACTAGGTAACAACAGCTTTCCACGCACCCCTAGGGCGTATAGTGCGGCGGCTTTTAGCGAGGCGGGGAGGAAATCGGCCGCCGCCATCTCGAAGAACGTCGGCCGACTGCCCTCTGCGCCCGCCGCGTGGAACAACATCGTGCGATGTGCGGTGAGATATGCAGCGGGATGTGCGGCGAGGTGTGCGACGTGTAGGAGGTTCACGACGCGACAATAAAGAGTCTAGGAGGGAGCACCGGCGACGGTACTGAACAGGTCAACAGAAGAGGTATCTCCTACCCGTTATCTTTAGGAAAGCTGTCCGCGACTCGTGCTACGACTTGAACCTGCCTTTGAAATTGTTGGGGTGGTAACCATATCTCGATGCACTTCGTAAGGGTTCAAAAAGTGCAGAACGAGTCGGTCGGAGAACCAGTATGGTGCATTGCAGCTTATTTGTCTTCCAATTCGGTTTCGCGTGGTATTCAACAGTTACAGAGATTCGAAACTTTCATGAACGTTGTACCTAGCTCCACCGCGCTGAACCCACAAACCCATACAGAAAGCGTTTAAAGTCTAGGCTCCGAACCGAATTCGACCGACCCAAATCTAATATTAACCACTGCTCGCACATGTCGAATTTGGGTGCTTCATAAACGAAGATGGCGGACAGCTCGAGACGTGGCTTTATAAGTGAGCCATACTCTAGTGCAGATACCGATGTGCATGCTTCCCGGCGGAAACCATGTCACTGCTGGGCTTAGTATTCTTGTAGGCAACATTCGTGCCGCGTGGCAGCATTGCGGGGCAGGCGCTTTCGGGGAGGCGAAAGTGACACGACGCATCGCGGATTACCCATGTTAGCCGACTATCGCTCCGTACTTTGCTCCATGGCCCCGCGATTTGCGCTCCTTGTTTTGCTCCTCTCCCTCCTCCCCCTCGTGCTACCGCATTCTATCCGCCTTCCCTCTGCGCCATGCGCCGCGCGGATCGCGGCGCGGAGCCTAGAGGGGCGCGGGGTGCACCGCGTGCTGCGCACGTCGATCCGCGTGACATGCCGCGCGGACATCCTCCGCCCACGTCATTCAGTCGATGCACACGTGGCGTGCGGAGAAACGTCCGCTACTAGAACGGGGAGTCGCGGGTTAAATGTGAATGACGGAGAGACAGAACGAGGGAGAGCGGTTAGAGGAGATGAGGAGTGGCATACAGATGGGTGCAGAGCGGTACCGGAGCAGCGAGCCGACCTCAGTAGCTGCACTACTGCTGATGAACACATGGGAAGCAGTGGGGCGGCAGGGAGGACACGTGTCACGATACGATTGGAGCAGCCCATTCCACGTGGGCTATACGCAGATCCGTTTGAGCTGGAGAGAATCCTGCGACCAGGTGTGGGGGCCGGGGGCGTTGGTGGGCGCACGGGATGGTAAGAAGAGGGGGAGAAGGGCGCAGAGGGAGTGGGCGGCGCAGTTTAGGCGGAGGTGGAGCGAATCCTGCGACCAGGTGGGGCGGGGGTTGTTGGGCGCGTCAGGGGGGACGGAGGGAGAGAGGGGAAGTGGGGGAAGTGCGCATTGCAGGCGGGGTAGTGTGCAGTGATGGGAGAAGGGGGAAGAGTGTGCAGTGAGGGGGTGCTGTTATTATTCTGCTTTTGCCTTGAACCTCACCCTCCCTCCCTCCCTCCCTCTCACCCCTTCTCCCACTCCCCTCCTCCCCCCGTTGCTCCCCGCCCTCCCTCCCTCCCCTCCGAGCCAGCGGGCGACCGAGCCTGGGTGGTAGGTCCGGTGGAGCTGGAGCAGCCGGCGCCGCGCTGTGAAGCAACAGTTGCAGTGATGGAAAGGGACGTGCACGTGGGGGAGGGGGAGCGGAAGGGGGAGGGGGGAGGCGCAGGGGGGAAAGTGAGGAAGGGGGAGGGTGCAGGGGACGAGGAGGGGCGGGGGGAGGGGGAAGGGGATATGCGAGTGGGGGAGGATGAGGTTGCATTCTCATTGGAGTTCAGTTTGCCTCTGCACTCCCGATACCCGGTAAACCATGCTTTGTACACACTGTGAAGCACTTATTGTTTTCAGAGGACACACGTGCTTATAACGTTTTGCTGATCGTGTATTTGAATTTGATTAATGCTCTGCATCCACTATCTCTCTGTCCCTTTCCTCCTCCCACCATTCTCCCCACCACTGTCTTCCAGGCCGTGCAGCCAGCTCTCTCCCCGCCACTCTCCCCTCTCTCCCTCCCCTGGGACTTGAAGCAACTTCAAGCCACCCTTCAGAGGAACCACTCTTTTCTGTCCTCCCTCTCCTCTCTCTTCTCTCTCTCCACCCTCACCTCTCTCACACAAGCCCTCACCGGCAGCTGCAGCCAATCATACGCCGCAATTCATGTGCCCTTGCCTTCAGCATGCCTCGTGCTCCCTCCTCCCCCGACCTGTGCGGGACCATCCGCCCTGCACCCATCAACGCCATCGTCCTCAGCACCAGCGCCGCCATCACCATCAGCATCCATACCAGCATCAGAATCATCAACCCCCCCACCATCCTCACCACCAGATTCGCCCTCATCAGCATCAGAATCACCATCGCCATCATCATCACCATCATCAGCAGCAGCAGCATCAGCATGTGATGCCGTCACTCCACCCCGCTGCGAGTGCCTGCCCATGCAGCTCACTTGGTCTTCACAAACAGCACCTGCAGATGGGGAAACGGACGGGTCTGGGGGAGCAGCAAGACTGGGAGGAGACTCGGAGGGAGACGAAGCAGAGCAAAGGCATGAGGAGGTGAGGAGGGAGACGGAGGAGGGGGCGTTGGTATGGGAGGTGCCGGCGGGGTGTGCTGCCCACACGCCCCTGGTGCTGTGGGGTACGTCCCTAGCTGCTGCTGTGGGGGCTCTGGTGCTTGTTGCCGCGGCTGCTGCTGCTCCCGTGCACACAGCAGGTGCCAAGGCCAGCAGTTGAGGCGTGAAAAAGTGCAAACACAAGTGTGGAGGCGTTTGAAAGTCAACTGCTTCAGTAAACACAGGATTTTAGGTCTGAAGTTACAGGAATGAGAGGAATAAGGAGCACAGTATGTGTCACTGCACCTGTGGGGGTTCTGGACTGGTTGTTGTTGCTGTCGCTTCTGCTCCAATGCCCAAGGAAAAAAGATGCAGCATGCAGTATTTGGCAAAATCACTGAGTCCAAGTGCTGGCATCCTTGATTGGATTACCTTCAGCACATGTTTATATAACGTTTATGGTGCCTACAGAGTGTTCTTTCATACCATCAAACGCTACGGTAGCTTGCTCTTTATCTTTGATTCCATGAACCACAATTCTGACAAGCAGGACACAATTTCTTAAATATATAAATAAGCCTAACACAAGGTGAGCAATAACCATGTCTAACTGGCAGAAGCCAAGGCCAGAGCCATCCCTTTGGATGCGCATAGGACCAGAGCCATCCCTGTAGGAGCGCACTGAACCAGAGATATCCCTTTAGGAGCGCACCGGACCCAGGCCATCCCTTAGAAAGCGCACGGGACCCGAGCCATCCCTTTGGGAGTGCACCGGACCAAAGCCGTCCCATTGGGAGTGCACCGGACCAGAGCCATCCCATTCTGAGCGCAGCGGACCAGAGCCATCCCTTTGGGAGCGCACCGGACCAGAGCCATCCCATTGGGAGCGCAACGGACCAGAGCCATCCCTTTGGGAGCGCACCGGACCAGAGCCATCCCTCCGGGAGCGCACCGAACCAGAGCCATCCCTTTGGGAGCGCATCAGACCAGAGCCATCCCTTTGGGAACGCAACTGACCCGTGCCATCCATTTGGGAACGCAACTGACCCGTGCCATCCCTTTGGGAGCGCAACTGACCCGTGCCATCCCTTTGGGAGCGCAACTGACCCGTGCCATCCCTTTGGGAGCGCAACTGACCCGTGCCATCCCTTTGGGAGCGCAACTGACCCGTGCCATCCCTTTGGGAGCGCAACTGACCCGTGCCATCCCTTTGGGAGCGCACTGGACTTGATATCAACCTGGAGGAGCACACTGAAAGCACAGCCACAGCTGAATGGCAGCAGATGATCATCCTTCCACCCCCACCAGATTCCCAACCCACTCTCCCGAACACCCTGACGAGCAGGGTGCAAAATAGGACCCACCATCATCCCACTTCCCCAACCACCCAACCACCTCCCCTCCCCACTGCATCAATCTGCCCGAGGCTCTGTGCTCTCCACCTTCATCTCGCTGGAGTATGCCTTAGATGCGTCTTTAATGGCTCTTTTTTTTTACTTCTTGTTTCTTTTTTCCTTTTCTTTTTTTTGAACCCATGAAGAATTGAGGTCCCCATTCCCAAGAGATCCACTGAGAAGTGCCCCGAGGGAGGTCGGTCCCCTTTTCTCACACTCCCGCTGAGCTTGCACCGATTCACAGCGGCGCTTATGGCCGCCACGGACGACGTGAGCTCGCAGCCAGCCCCACCTTAGTCGTCGAGGCAGCACGAAGCTTTCGTGCAGCCTTGAGGATGACAGCAGTCGCTCGCTCCTCCTGCTGCTTCGTGTCGTTGGAACTCCGTCTGCTTCGCACCTGCCTCTCAGCTGCAGCGGCTCCTGCGGGTCGCGGAATCAACGTCGTCCCTTCCGCGCGGCTTTTCAAGATCGCTCTCTGACCGCTTGGTTTCGGGATGCGAGATGGCAGCAGGTGTGACGTAGGTACTGAGCGTGTCGTTGCCTTTCTCAAGCCAGCTTCCACGGCCTTCAGCGATGTTGCAGATTCCGACATCACCGGCTTGAACGTCACTGGTTCCGACATCATCGGTTTCGAAGTTACCGCCGGTTCTGACATCACCGGCTCCGAAGTTACCGGTTCCGACGTCATCGGTTTAAACATCACTTGTTCCGACGTCACAGCTGGTATGGACGCCGTCGGATCCCATGTCGCCGAATCGTGCGGCTCCTTGTATACCAGCGATGCAGCAGCGTCCATAAGACAGGCTTTGTTGCGGCTGGCGTCGCCGACACTCTCATTTCTGGTGTCAGCGCAGGAGAGCACCGCGTCGCTGGCCTCACTGCAGCAGGGCGTCAGGCTGAGGCTGCTAACCTGGCGGAGTTTGCTCGCGTTGGAGGAGCTCCGAGGCTGCAGCGATGGTTGCGTGGGCTTGGTGCTATCGAGGCACTTCCAGAAGCTAAAAGCGTTATTGAAGTACGACGGGTAGTCAAACTCTGAGGCCATTGTGCGGATTCTTCACGAGATCAGCAAACGTTGAGAGTTGATCTGTATGCTAGAACTGATAGTATGCGCAAGCTAGGATGATTGCGTGAATGCTGTGTGTGCAGATTTGTAGGCACTGTCAAGTAGGGGAATGGAGGGGTTGGAGGCGAAAAGGGTCACCTGGGTGGTCTGGAAGGAAAGTGGGCTGCTCAGGCTCGGATCTGGGCTTGTCAGGCTCGGGAGCGAGAATGGCGCGAGGTGTTCTCTAGACCCTGACCTGCCCAGCTTTGTGCTCATTTGCCCAAGCAAATCCCCTGGGGCTGCCCGAGTTTGAATATTGGGGTCCAAGCCCACGACCATTTCGGGCTACTGCCCACAAGCATTTAGAAACTGCCCGAGGTTGATCTGGCAGTGCAAAGTTTTTTTACCGCGCTACGCGACCACGGAGGCGGCGAAATTTGAGCGACAAACTCGGGGGAAGCCAGTCAACACCAATAGTTGACTACAAATAGCTGCAACCCACTCACAACTTTTCTACATCCAAGTATCGTACTGAACCTCCCTCCAATTTGTTACCCCGAAAGCTTCGCCTTTGAGGCTTGGACCTGAACTTCGGTGTCGAACCTCTTTGCCTTGGCTACGCACAAAAGCCGAAATCGTGTTTCGAGATGAACCAGCGCTGCTACACTTTTCCAGTCACTTCATAGTGTGGGTGACGTGATGCATGGAATGAGTCTCATTCCATCTCCTTATATAGAGATGCTTGCTTGCAACGACATACAGCACTATATTGCATACCGTATCACTATGAGCGAATTAAAAATAGCAAACACCCTATCCTATTCCATATAACCTACGGTAGCCAGAGTTTTAGCACCTCATCAAAGAGTGTGACACAATGACAAAACATGTTCGATAGTTTTAACAAATAACTATGATCACTCATTGCCCCAACCAAGCATATGCTTCTCAGACCATCTCCCTGCGGAAGGCAAGGCACCACCTAAGCATGCCAGATCGACCGCAAGCAGGTAGGTAAGGTGAGGCTGCTCCGATTCTAGGCGTGTGTTGGAAGCTCCATTCCTCTCATTGTCCTCCACCCACTCTTCCTCTCATCCTCTTTAAAACACCTTCTCGCCACCCCCTCTTCACCCCCTCCCATTCCTTGTCAACCGCTCTAAACCCTCCTGTGTGTGAACCCCACCACCAGAGCAGTGATATCGCCAACATACCCCCCCCCCCCCCCCCCCCCCCCCCGGGACCATTGACGGCCACCTCTCCTTTGCCAAGCACGGCAGCCCCTTCACAGCCAGTAACTCCCCTCAAGCCCCCATCTCCCATTCCCCCTCCATCTTTCTCTCTTTTCCCCATGACCCGTCTCCACTGTACAGTCTACACCTTCTTGTGGCAAACAGCTTCACACCTTCCGGTGTGTAAAACCCATGACCAGCGCAGTGATGTCATCAACATACCCTGCCCAATCTCCTGTCAGACATTTTTCCTAACGAAGCCCAGCAGCTTCCCTCCCCCCTCTGCCCCGCTTTACTTTCTCCTTCAGCCACTATACCTTCCTGTGTGTAAACCCCACGACCAGCGCAGTGATATCATCAACATACCCGGCCCCATCTTTCGTCAGCCATCTCTCCTTAGCCAAGGCCAGCAGCGCCTTCACTCCCGTCTCTATGCTCCCCGCCGCCACCACCACCCCTATCGCCTCGTCGTCCCCCACATACTCCCACAGGCCGTCCGACCCGAGCACTAGGAAGGCGTCTGATTGGTCCAGACGACGCACGACCACCTGTGAGGGAGGGGAGGAGAGGGGAGGGGAGGGAAGGTGGGTATAGTGTGGGGATGTAACAGAGGGACGGTTCAGATGGGGTGAGAAAAGCCAGGCTGAGCTGTAGAGCATGGGTGTAGAGAGAAGGGGTTGGAGGATAGGGTAAGGTTGAGTTGAGAAGGGAAGGAAGGCATGCTCCCCCCCGCCACCACCACCCCTGTCGCCTCGTCGTCCCCCACATACTCCCACAGGCCGTCCGACCCGAGCACCAGGAAGGCGTCTGATTGGTCCAGACGACGCACGACCACCTGCAAGGGAGGGGAGGGAGAGGGGGGGTGCCAACGGTGTGAGCTAGTTTATCCCCCAGGCTGCGACTCAAGGCCAGGCCCAGCATGGGACCATGTAGTGTATCATGGTACACCCTCCGTGCTAGCACATGCATAGATAGAGTGGGAGCATACCTCAGGAGTGGCGGAGACCCCCACGGTGTGTGCGAGCTTATCCCCGAGGCTGCGACTCATGGCCAGGCCCAGCATGGGACCCGTCTTCATCCACACGCGGAACGGGCCCACATCGTCCCCATTCTCGTCCACGTCCCTGCCATGCAGCACGTTGGGTTGAAACGCATATTATGTGTTAGCCGCATTGCATTGCACCGCATTGCACCACGACATGCAATGCCAGGCCCAGCATGGGACCCGTCGTCATCCACACTCGGAACGGGCCCACATCGTCCCCATTCTCGTCCACATCCCTGCCATGCAGCATGTTGCATATTGAATATTGGGAAGGGAACACATGCCATGTGTTTTTCACACTGCATTGCACCATACGGAATGCCAGGTTACAATGTAAAGGACCAACACCTGATATTTCACCTGGCAGTCACCTGACATTTCACCTGGCAGTCACCTGACATTTCACCTGGCAATCACCTGACAGTTCACCTGACATCACCTGACAGTACACCTGATGGTACACTTGATAGCAAGAGCTTGGCAACGAACAGACAGAGAGAGAATGCTGAGAGCACCACTCGTATCACTCACTGCTGCACGCTGCCTTCACTGGCCTCTATCCGCGCCCTCTCGTCCTCGTTGTTGGGCTTGTGGTCCGCCGATAGCCGCACTGCCGTCAAGTCATCGCGCTCTGTGGCAGGGGAGGGGGAGCAGAGGGGGTTATAGGGTAGAGGAAGGAAAGGGGACTTGGTGTGATGGAATGTGGACTGCCAGCCACCAGGTCATGGCATGGAAGACCGGGACGGGTTGTTGGGGGCAGGGGAAAGGGAACGAAGAGGTAATTCCGCTCTCCAATCAACTCTTCCCTCTCTTCTTCGTGCCAACCCAGCCCTCGAGTCCCCTACCCACTCTCTGTTCTTTCCTGTTAACCCGCCCTTTTCCGTCTTACACTCTGTAACGCAACCTCTCCCTTTTGCTCATCTCTCCCCTCTCGTTTCCGAGTCAGCACAACCCACAAGTCAAGTCCCCCACCCACGCCCACATACACATCTCCTCTCAAACGCTTCTTCTCTTCCTCACCTCCTCTCCCCCCCACTTCACTCACCTCATCCCTCTCGACTCCGTGCCAGCACTCACAGCTCACAAGTCCCCCAACCACGCCACAGTCAGCCAGCTGCTGCTTGTAGAGCCACCCACCCTCTCATTCTCGTTCCCCTCCCCTTCAGCCATCTCTCTCCGTCTCTCACATCCAATCTCTCGAAATCTTCCCTCTGTTCACCTCCGCCCTCTCATCTCCATGCTAGCACAGCCCGTGAGTCCCAAACCCACGCCACAGCCAACCTAGCCACTGCTCACGAGCCCCTCATGACCCCCCATCTCCCTCCAGTCCACCCATGCTCTGATTTCCCCACACGTTCTATTCTCACCTCCGCCCTCTCGTCTCCTAGCCAGTACAGCTCTCGAGTCCCCGACCCACGCCACGGCCAGCCGCTGCTTGTAGAGGTGAGCCACCACCGCTGTCGTGCCACTTATGTTGCAATTGAACGAGGCTGTAAGGGGGATGAAACGGAGAGAGGCATGTAAGAGGAACAGTGTGAACAACAGATACAACACTACTGCTGTGCCTGCCGCCTATGCTGCAGTGAAAGAAGGCTAAAGGGGTAGGAGCAGTGGGACAGAAGGAAAAATACTCGTACAGATGGCTACCACTGCTGCGGACCTGTGGTGCTGCAACGAATCTCCCTTTTCAATCTCTTTCTGTGATCCCGTGGCATCCTCCTCGCCCTCTCTACTAGTAGTAACTCCTTCACTTTTTCCCCTCACTCCCTGTTACCCCTTCACTTCCTCGTCTCATCCACACACTTCAGCGCTCCTGCAACGTGTGTTGTCTTACTAGAATGCAGTGGAATCTGGGCCTAATCTGGCCTCACACTCCCAGACACTTCCCCTCAGGCCTCCAGAGAGCTGCATTCCACACCACTCCCAACATCTATCCATGCTCAACTCTTCCCACACCCCACCCACCCCCACTCACTCACTCCTTTCCTCCGCCCTCATCTCTTACAACCTACCCCCCCCCCCCCCCGCACGCAATCCTTCGCATACCTCCGCACACCTCCAACTTGCCCCCCACTCACTCTCCTCAAGTGCTGCATCGTGAACCGCCAAAAAGCCATCCGTTAGGGCCTTCTCGGGGTCCACGAGAAGATCTGAGCCGTCCATTAGAATATCTGGGAGCCGATCCTGGTGTCAGATGGATGTGTGTAGCGGACAGGTTAAAGTAAGATGGAAAGAGAGACTGGGTATGGGCGATGGGAAGGGATGTGCCGTATGGGATACTGGGTATAGGCATGGCAGGGCATGTCGTAATGGCAGGGGATTGGAGGATCTCAAAAATTGAGAGGTCAAACGAACAAAGTAGGAAATACGTATTGCACGATTTACTTTCATTTCGTTCATATGCAGAAGTTTACATATCGGTGAGCATGTCGAGAGGGACTGAGCTGAGGCTAAGCGGGAGTAGCTCGTGAGCAAGGAGGGTGAAAGGGGAGGTTTACCTTGATGAACTTGGAAACGTCATGTCCTTGCGGCCCATGGCCGTCAAACACGCCAAAAATGAGCGATCTGCGCAACCCAGGATATTTATATGAGAGGTGAAATAGGGGTGGCTGTTGTTTGGCTGTCTCAGGAGATTCGGGGTTTCCATTATTGTGGATCTTTGCTCACATGCGTACTCGTTTATTCAAGGTTGCAAAAAGGATTACCCGAGTACACTCACTTTTTGTCTTTCGTGCGCATGAAACAGTACGCGTCTTGGTTCGTCTTATGAAACCCGTCCTGCTGCCCCGCCGACGACATGCACGCCACGCGACACACCACGGGCTCGTCGGGAGCGGGCGACGACGACCGCGACGACGGACGCGACGACGGTCGCGAGCCAGGCCGCGACGACGGCCGCGACGAGCTCCGCGAGGAGCCTGCCGCGCGGGAACCGCTCGACGCGGGGGAAGCGGAGGCGCCGGAAGCGGCGGGGCCGCCAGCGGTGGGCGGTTTGCCGTCGGACGAGGTTGCGTTAGTATCGGCGGTGGTGGCGGGGACTGCCGCGGCAGGTGCGGCGTCGTCGGTTGTTGTGGCGGGTGCTGCTGCTGCTGCGAGCGACGCGGCGATCGCAGCAGCAGCAGCTGCAGCGGCATTATCAGAGGCGACTGCGTCTGACTCTACTAGCTCAGGCCGCTGCGGCGAGCCTGGCGCAACCTCTGCGGGCGCATCTGGTGTTACGGTTCCGCCTGCGCTGCTCACTCGGTCCGCGGCCTGGGCCGCAACTATCGGCTCCACCATTTCCGCTGGCCCGTTTCCGCCAGTCACTCCGCTCACCGCGTCTCCCGCTTCTGCGCTCTCCGCGCCCCCCCCAACCTCCTTAATCCCCGCACTCTGCGCAATCCCTTCCGTCCCCCCATCCGCTGAGGTGACCTTTTCCGCCGTCGCTGCGGACCCGATTCCACCAGCTGCCCCGTCCGCGCTACAGTGCTCCTCGGAGTCGCCGATCGTCACTGTTTCCGCTGCAGCGGAGGATGGCCCGCCGTTGGTAAGAGCAGCGCACGACGATTCCTTGAGCTGCTCTGATTGACTGCTGGATTGATCGGAATCAGCTGCAGTCACCGTGTCTGTCGCATTCTGCGCGATCTTCATGTGGTTGTCTCCCTGACATTGCGTCAGATCCTCTCCTGCCTGCTTTCGCGGTTCCAATGCGGAAAGGAGCAGGGGGCGAGAGTGACAGAACGAGCGAGATCATGGGCGGGGAGAAGAGGAAGATGAAGGACATTTGTAGACGAACGAAATGGGACGAAGGGAATGTGGAATGAAGGTGATGGAATATAATAATGAAGTAACAGTAGTTGAGGCAAAAGGGTGCGGAATGGTAGGAATATTGGCGGTAGTCCTGGCGTGGATACTGTACCTTGCTGCAGGAGCACGGACTATCAAGCCGAGCTTGCTCGTCCGAGACGGACGACGCAGGAGCACTCATGCTACAACAGGAAGTAGCAGCGAACAAGAACGACTCCTGTCAACCAGTACCAAGAGGAGTAACAAACGGGACTAGTGGAAGGTTACCGCACAATGCGGGCCGAAAATCATGGATCAATAACCGCTCGCTCGCAAAACTACAGTGTCGTCGGAGCGCGAGAGGTGGTTGTGTGAGACCCAACCAACCAAAGCAAGGTGATTTTCACGACAGTTGGAGACAGGCGAGGAGGGATAGGAGGAAGCTGATGGGTCTGGCTGGCTTGGCTTGCATTTGCTTGATTTGCGTGTAATGTCATGGTTGGGTTGATGAGCTGCGGGGCGGAGTGGGTTGGTGAGGTGAGCTGGGATGGGAACCTTGTGAGAGATGGTGTGAGTGTTTGATGCGGTTGGGTGAGATGTTCCGATTTGCACAACGTTTCGTTTGTTTTTTAGGCGGTTGGGTGTTTTCTCGAACAAAATCAGACTGCAATGGCGAGGGGGGAAGGGCAGGCACCCTTTCATACCAGTCAACGATGAGTGCAGAGGGCGGTATCTGCTGATATGGCACCGACACCTCAGTTTCCTTGAAAATCTGCTGATGTGGGACAGGTCCCCACGTCATCGTCGTGCTGAAATTATCTGTTCCGCTTTCACTTGTGTGCAAGAGCAGACTACTACACAATTTGTACGAATATTGTCCTGGAACACAATGGTTCTATAAACCTGATGCGATCCAAACGAGGGTAGATCAAAGCTCCACATGGTTCTCCATGTCCTGAAACTGCAGTGCTCAGAAGCATTTCATATGTGCTACGTTTAGACCAGCGTCCCGTCACCCTGGCTCACACATCTCCTCGCCGTAATTCAGCAGTAACTATGACAATGCCGTCTAAGATATTTGTTGGTGGACTACCATGGCAAACCACATCTGACGATCTGGTTGTGTACTTCCAACAGTATGGAAGCGTCATCGAAGCAGGCTAGTTTTATCCCAACGGCATGCCATCTTTCCTCTTTTTTTTTCACGATTTAAAACCCGTGCCATGTAATGCAGTTGTTGTAAAAGATCAAGCGACTGGCAGGTCGAGAGGGTTCGGTTTTGTCACATTTCTTGAGCCGTCTTCTGTAGCCAAGACGGTGACAGCTCCTCCTCACTCCATCTTTGGACGGTAACAACCGTCGTCAGTCTAGTCTTTCCGTTTCCAGCCAGTAGCTCCACTCACTACTGTTTTCAGGCTAGTGGAAGTCAAGGAGCCAGAACCGCGCGGAAAACAAGTCGTGTTGAGACCAGTAAGGACGGAAACATTTAAAGACTAGAACTTTCATCCTTCGAATCTTTCTTGAGGCAGGATTAAGAAAAGCAGTCGATTATGTGAACAGGAAAACGGCCCAAGAACGCGAAAGCTTTTTGTTGGAGGTCTTCCACCTTCCATGACTGACGAAGAGTTCACGTCCTACTTCGCTCGATTCGGAACCGTATGTTGTAGCACCTACCGGTACATCTGTGCTCGTGAGTTCATGCGTCGCAATGCATCTCATTCATGATGCCAGATCACAGAGATTCAAGTCCTTCGCGACGAAGATGAGAAGGCCTGATGCAGGGGATTTGGGTTTGTTACTTTCCAGGCAGAGCAGGCAGCCGAGGATGTGCTTCTTGTTGGAAGGTGAGTGTTTCGCATGGTTGGGCTTTGGTCATGTGATGAGAGCCGCTGTCACTTGAATAAGGGACTCTCATTTCCCATGCAGAATGCACGAAATTTGTGGGAAGATGGTGGAAGTGAAGAAGGCACAACCACGGAAGGACATGGCAAAACTAAATGGCAGATGGCTGTGAAGTGAAGTGCAATATCCAGCCATCAGTGAACGATCAACATCAACACACCACCACTGGTATTTGGCAAACATGAATGCGACCGATGTCTGCTGCTCTTCAAGACCTGTTGTTACTCTCACAACAGCCAGCACAGCTAACAACCAATCAATACCACATGTAATATTCGCAACTGCATACATAAATGTGGCCTGGCTACTGCCAAGAAACTCTTCAATGCCTTTGCAACCTTATAAAGCTATAGTATCGGTACCGTACTACTGGTAATTCACTTCCCCTCGAAACCTGTAAGGCGAGCAAGTTCATCAAGGTCTTGTTCACCTGGCAAAAGCTGCAATGCAAAACCAAGGGAGGATGACAAGCAAGACGGAACACAGTCTCAGACACATGACCAGAAATTGGAAGGTAGGAGAACAAACAGATGGATGCCAATGCATGCATAGCCACCTACCTAAAACCACAAACAGGTAACTCTGATCCATCAATCCGTACAAAACATTCATACCGTACAATCAACTGCAGTCAGTAAAGGGAGCTCACCTGGCCATCAATGATCCATGTTGGGAAGCCTTCGATATTGGCATCCTGGCATGTTTTAGCAAGCTTCACTCCTGCCCTGAAGCCCTCTGGATAGCACTCCACGTACGGAAGGTACTTGGAAGCTTCTGCTCCAAAAGCCTGCAACGAAAAGGTCACCAAGGTTAAGAGAATCCATGTACGGTGCTCATTTGCACAACCTAGAAATTCATCTTAACGAATACGAGTCAAATACAACCACGCACCTGCTTCTGCTCGTAGCAGTGCGAGCACCAGAAAGCGCCATACAGCTTCGCCCCAACATTCGACAGATGCTTGGCCAATTGCACGCGCACAGGTGTCGAAACAGTGGTGACCTCAGGCTCTAGAGCAGCAAGGTCAATCTCGGTGTCCCTGAGAGTAAGAAACCATTCCACAACACAGAGACGACAAGGTAAAGATACAGGAGAAGTCTACTTTGAAGGGCAAGAGGATGAGAGAAGGGAAAAGGAGGTCAGGATCATTGGCAAGTTGCAAGGAAATGGATATTAATCAAAGTGGTGGTGTTTGTTTAAGATGTCGACTACACACTGCAAACGAAGGAATGAAAAGCATCATGGAGCAGGCTGAAAGGAGACCCATGGAGGCCCTGCCACACTCAAAAGACCCACCGAGCATAGGCGGACCTGACATCAGCAAAGGAGAGGGAGAGAGCCACGGCGGTCGCTGTCACCAGGGCTAGCTGGGGTAGCAGCGCCTGCTGCAACTCACGCCATGAAAAGGACTGGTGGGGGAAGGGGAGGGGGAGGGCATGGGAGGGAGGGGCGGCGCAGGAGGGATGGGAGACACAGCAAGACCAGCAAAGAGGAGGCATGTGAGCAAACAAAAGGAAGAAAGTCATTGGCGGTTGAAGGATTTGCAATGAAGACTTTCAACCTGGATCTGCAATCGATGTGGCATACACACTTTTGACAAATCACGTGACCAATTGAGAATGAAGGCTGAGGGCTTTATAGGACAGTAAAAGGCCTACTTGAACAGCCCTATTCACGTTTTCAATAATAGACCCACCTTCACTGTGAGGGCAAACAGCAACGTGGACAGAGTAGCTGAGGTGACGCAATAGAGGCAAAAGGCGCCGTCCAGCTCAGTAGCGAGGATGAACATGAGATAGCCGCTGGTGGTGGCCATGGCAGCCGTGAGAGAGAGCAGCAGCCAGCGTGCAGTGGAGGAGAGAGTGGAGGCCTCGAGAGGGGTTTGAGGAGAGGAGGGCCGGGAGAGGTGGGTGAGGAGGGCGACGGTGGAGTAGGCAGCAAAACCGAAGACTGGGAGGGGGATGCCTGTGGGGACGGGAGGGGGTTGGAAGAAAAGGATTGGAAACGAATGTGATGCGGCGAATGGATGAGGAGGTGGGAGAGGAGGAGGCCGACGTGGGAGAGGGCTGTAAAAATCTAAAGATAGAGAGGAAGAAAGGTGCCTGCGGTTTTGGGACGTCTCAGATCAGAACAAGGCAGTGAGATGCATAGGGTTGGATGGAGTGGGGGAAGGGAGGAGGAGGTGGGGAAACGGGGGGGGAAGGTGTAAATGGAGAGGGCGTGGTGGTGTGTGTGAGCTGCATAATAGAGAGCACTGGGAGTTGGTGTATACGGGACTATTAGGGTGACGAAAAACTGCATGGAGAACGGGGAGAGGGGAAAACACAGGATGGGGGCAAGCAGGAGGGGGGGAAAATGGAGGAGGGGGGAAAATGGAGGAGCGGGAGAGAGGCAGGAGGGTGGATGACAGAAGAGTGAGAGGGGTTGTTGAGGTCGCTATAAAATGTGCAGGAAGAGGATACACACATAGGGCCCAACTGACGTACCGAAGAGGGAGGCGTATGGGCTGTTGAGCACGTCAGTGCATGACTCGTTAATGGGACAAGCCACCTGCCCCCCCGCCAGCTTCTCAAAAGAGAGGTACAGTGTTTCTGCTGCTCCAACTAAAGACAGACCAAGTAGCGGCACATAAGGCACGCTGCTGCTGCTGCTGCTGCTGCTGCTTGGCGCTGACGTGGACAACGATGGAGACGAGCGAATGCTGACGTCATCGTCGCTTGGTCCTGACTCCCTGTCGCTGGGAGCAGGCGGAGGCGATTCGCCAGTGGCTCGCACCGCGATCCGCGGATCACGGCGATAGGAGCGTGCAATGCGCGGCTGCAGCGGAAACGGAGGAACCGGGGCGAGGTGGGGAAGGGGGGTGAAGGAGAGGGGAGTGTGGGGGAGAAAGAGGGAGGGAGAGGGGAAGCGGGGTGGGAGAGGGAAAGAGAAGAAGGATCGCGGGGACGTGACGGGGTAAGTCT